GGCCTTTGGTAAGTAATTTTAACTTGCCGTGTTATTCTTTGCTTTTTGCTATTTAAAATATATTTGCTTACTGTTGCAATGTGATTTTCTGTTGCTGTTTGGGTGGTTTAGGTAGTAAAGTGGAGATACGTTTTCGTTAAATGATTGTTGTGTGCGTGCGTGCGTGCTGACCTACAACTCTCTGGAGACAGGGTTGGATTTAGAGTTTTTAAAATATTCACATAAAACAATTCTGTTGTTATTTTTTCCCAGTTTGACATCTTTTACATTGACTAATGTAACCTTTCTTTGCACCAGCAGAGGGCAGCATCGGTTTCTGTTCTAGTCATGCTTTTTCCAATCTTAGATACAGTGCTTGTGGAAGATTTGGAAAATATTGTCACATGCTACTAAAATGAAACTCGTGTGTGGGAGAGAGAGAAAGAGAGAGAGGGAGAGAGACTGGTGTGTCCTTTTCACTTTATCAGGCTTTGGAAACAAGGAACCACCTCCTAAGTCAGATCCCTTGTTTTTCTTTTCCCGATAATTATAGTCAAGTCAAATGCTTTCTCATTATTCTCCAGGATTAGCTCCATTTCTTCCTGGAGCTATTCTAAGGATAACATTTTCTCCCCTCTAGTCAACAGAACAGTTGGCTCCTCCAAAGAGGTGTATCGATTCACAAGTGGAACCCACAGGAAGAGGCTTTCAGTGGCTACTAGCCTTGCTGGATTTGTGCTCCCTCCGTTATCAGAGTAGCCTTGCCTACTTCAGAGGATTGTTCTGCTGAATGGAATGAATAGAGAGATCACCTAATGAAAGCAAAGAAATGATACACGAGGCAATGAAAGTGACTGAGAGGTGGCTGATTAGCCCATAACTGTCAGTTGGTCTTGGCCAGACTTTCCCAAGCTGGTGTCCCCTAAATATTTTTAACTCAACACCCATCAGCTCTGTTGAAGGCCAAGTAATGATGGGCACTGCAATCCAAAACATCGGCACAGCATCAAGTTAGGGAAGGCTGGTCCAGCCCACCAAGCCTTAGCTGGCTGATGCTCAGTTTCCATGGCATTGCTCGGGAGATCATTGTGATGCTATTACTGGGTCATCCATATGCATGTGCTTCACAAAGCACAAGAGGATGGACCTTTTCTCCAAGACAACAGTCTAAAACATGCCAGGGAGGAAAGTGCAGAGGAAGGAGAGGGTGGGAAGACTAAGACTTCAGTTGCAAGGATGTAGACTTAGTTACAATACAGCCTCCTACCCTGGCCTGGTGCTTTCCAGATGTTTTGGGCTTCAATTCCCATCTGTCAGCAATGGCCAATAGTCAGGAATAGTCCAAAGCACCTGGAAAACATCAGGTTGGGGGAAACTACTGCAAGGCATGGAAGGAGCACACTGCAGTGATGCCAAAGACTTCCTGGAACTCTGAAGGGTGACTTGAAGGGTGTGTGGTGTTGTGTTTTTACTCTTGAGTGACACAAAACTTTCCCCAAGATAGTTGTTCTCAGAAAGGAGTAAAGATCCCAGTTAGCAGTTGTGGGTGGATGGGAAGTTACGTGGACGCCAAAGAAGCAGCAGTTATTGGCACTTGGTGCAGAAGGAAAACAGGAAGGCCTGTTCTAATCCCGAGTGTCTTTTTCCTGCTGCAGGACCTTTTCTGCAAATAGAGCCATTGCCATTCATGGGGGGCGGGCAGGTTGTATGCACAAGCCAGCCATTCATTTCGGAGTCCCAAAAGCGGAGTCAGAATCCGCAGAACACACCCTGCCTACAGCTACAGCGTTGCCTTGCCTGGGCCAGCTGGGCCTGGTCTCTGGTGGAGCTTGAGGCTGGGGCAGTGGGGGTGGGGTGAGCAACCCTTCCAAAACATTTTCTTGAATACACAGAACCAGGGGTTTGGCTTCACGTGACTCAATCTGGCTGACTTGAAAGACAAAAAGAACTATATTAGTGCTGTCCATGCAGCTCCTGAATAATTAAAGTGTCTCTCCAAGCTGAATGCATTCACTGAGTAATTAATCAGTCAGTAGGAGAAAATTTGCTCCCTTTAGGAAGCCAACAATGCTGGCTGTTGCATCCTTTGTCTGACTTCAGCAAATGAGGTTGCAGACATGATGGGGCAGATTAGAAATTTTGGAACATGTACAGGTCTGGGACAGCAGGCATCCTGATGGACATGGAGTGTCTTTGTCGTTGACACTTTGTCCACATAAAAGCCACTTTGCATGCATTGTTTAGGTGTGCATCATGTCGATGGTCTTGAGTATTATCCCTAAACATTGAACATCTTGCAAGATCCACATTAGCAAACAGATAACCTGTAAAATTATACTCAGCAGAAGCTGTGATTTTTCTCCCTCCTTCCTGAGCAGACACTTACTGGCAAACCTAAGTTTGCCTCTGTGTAGCTTGTGAAATGATCTTTTGCCATATTAGGTGGAGTTGTTGAATGTTTAATGCCCAAGCATTTGTTTGAGTAATTGATCTTCAAATATTGGACCACCACCTCTCAGGTATGCAGGTATGCATTCAGCAGAAGGGTTGGATTAGATGACCTCCAAGATCCCTGCAGGATCTATGACTCTATTCACTCATAGAGAAGTCTGCTCACTGCCTCTCTGCATGAATCACTGCTCTAGTGTGGCTTCCTTCCCAACAATCTTCATCAGAGAATTCCACCAGGCAATTCTGCTATCGGACCAGCCCAAGACATTTTGCTGCCTGCAGAGAATGAAAGGTTGCCCTTCCCTTTCCACCTAGAGACGCTAACCAGACTAGATGCTGAATCTCAGCTTAAGTCTTGCGATGGGACAGCATCATCCACCACTCCACCAGGCAGTAGGCTAGCTTAGCAAGTACAGGGTGGGCTGCCCTCCAGCAAAGGAGTGACACCGAGGACTGTCCCCACTCACCTTTCATACCTCCCAGCATCTGCTGCCGAATAGTTGGGCGAATAGTTGGGCGAATAGTTGGGCGAGCCACTGGTACACTGGGTATAATGAGATAGCTCAGTTGCTTCTGATGCAGAGCTGCATTACCTCTAAAGAGGTCATCCACTGTGTCTCTGCATGATTCACAGCCCAGCTGTGGGCTTGGCTCCTCAAATCAGCCACTGCTGCATAATCCTCCCATGTCTCTGCATTGAGGGAGATAGGATTACCCATCCCATCCCTCCTGGTCCAAATATGCAACAGTTATCCACCCACAGAGGAGTCTGTCAGTTATAGTTCTGCATGTTCTACTGCTCTGGGTGTAGCCTTGTGTAATCAAGTAGCCACTCGGTGACTTATACTCTGCATGAACATACCCTTTCTGCATGTAAAAGCTCTGACTTTTACATAATCAAACATCTCAGTTGTGAGAACAGAGGTTTAATTTGGAAAATAACTGGCTCATCAGAACTTTATGACATTTGCAATAATGTATAGTCACATCTGAAACTCCGATACCATTCATAAATTAGCAGGGGTGAAGTGCAGGAGCTAATTATAACTGCACCTGTAGCCATGCCCCCAGGGGAAATCCAAGTGTGAGAGATGGGTGCGTAGACAGCCAATCCCGTTGTTTCCATTATTTATACCAAAAATGGCTTAACACTCTGGCTCTTTTTTACTTATTCAAAATTATTTTTAGGCTGCTGTTAAAGGTTCGGATTCAAGAACCCTTCAAGTTCTAAGTGCTCTATCATAAAACACAGGCATCCAGAACTAGTAATAAATCTTTGAATTACATTTATGGGAGATGACTGCAATCTTACTCATAGTTACCTGGAAGTAAGCTGAACTGAACTCAGTGATGCTAACTTATGAATGCATGGGCCCAACTTGTAAAAGAAACTGAGCTTTAGCAGCAGCAGCTCGGTCAGCTGAAACATGGTCTTTAGCTTTCAATTGGAAATACATACAACTGCCAAGAAGAGCTACCATTCAAACTGTTAGTGTGAAGTAGGGACCCCAACTAAAAAGGGGGAAAGGAAAAAAGTAGCCACCCTGTTTGGTTGCTGTCCTCATGCCCTGACTTCGATGCTTATCTGCCACTACAAAAAAATTGAAAGACTCATCACCTCATTCACAGGCTAGACCTGTAGAAACTCTGGGACTCTTGCAGAGAACTTCATCTCACCCATAGTCCCCATAGCAACAGTTGTGTTTTCCCTCCACTATATTATTAATCAGTCTTACATCAAATGCTCCTTCCAAAGAGCTCAGGTCATCTACATGGATGAAGTTTCATCTACTTTATCCTCACAACAACTCTGACTTGAACAGAACACCACACTCAAGGGTTGAGCATGGGTTCTTGTTTGCACCATGGGTTATTGCTGAATTGTGGATTATGCTGTCTGAACCAAGTCAAGAAAAAAGTAACAGTGAACAACCAAGAGTTTTCGACCCAGCAACAAACCATGGGTTCAGTTTATGGATTATTCATGGTTAGCAAGCCATGGTTTGGTAGCACAGCTGAGTTCAGACAATACAGTAACTCACAGTTCAACAACAATCCACACTCAAGAAGCTTGGCTTATTGTACTGTCTGAACCAGTGAAGCAGGATAGGCCAGTCCAAAGTCACTCCAGTAGGTTTTGTGGGTAAGCTGAGACTTGAACTTGCCGCTTGCTGACTCAAGTCTGAATACTCTGCCCACAATACTTCACTGTCTCTCTTAGTGGGAAAAAAATCCACAAGCTGCAGCTGCTGATGGGAACCCTCCCCTTGAAAGGTTTACTTCTGATTGGACCAGCAAGACAATCCAACCCTGACTCACACTTGCAAAATGACACAGGGGCCCTGTCACAAAGGCCTGGGTGCTTACACATCTTTGCTCTGGCAGCCCTTTGAGCACCTGCAGTGCTGCAGCTGTGGCTGGCTTGCCGTTGCCAAGGCTGGCAAGAGTGCAAGCGAGGAGATGAGTGGAGACAGGCTGCACTGACTTCCAGCTACCTTTCTGCCTTCCAGCTATGGCCACATTGGGGGAAAAGGTCCAAAACAGCTGCTTCCCCTTTGGAGATCCCCACCAGCAATTACTAGCTGCCATTCTGATTGTGCTGGGCCTTTTTGCCATACTAGAATATGGCGTCAGACTCATCACCTTGGTAAGCAAACTGAGTCACGGTCCCCTGATGTGTATCCTTGTAATGGGTGCACTGCAGAAGCACCAAAGGCATCTGCATAGCTTTTTGGTTTCCTTCTTTTTGGAGTACAACTACTGGGGCTAATTTTGTCCACTGAGACCCAGCGGACCCACAGAGGCAGGGCCAGTGTGACCGGTTGGCTGCGGGGGGTATTTGCCAAAGCCCACAGTCCAGCAGGGAGCTCACAGTCACCTCTGAAAGCTCCCTCTTCCTCACTGTGGCCACTGGTCCACATTTCTCTCCAAGCAAGGAAGCAATGACTAGAATAAGAGCAAAGTCCCTGCTTGCCCTGTGCTGTCTCACTGGAAAGCAGTGCGGATTGGCCTCAGATGACATGCGGATCAGCAGCAGTAACAGTGCTAAGGAAGAAGGGGGGCCCTCCTTGGGGGCATCTTACCAAGGTTTCAGCACCCCCGGAGCCACCTCCGAACCCAGAGCATTCATTTGCGTGCGCGCATGTGTGTGTATACACATATTCACAGATGCCTGGGTATGCTGTGTTCTTGAGGCAGTCTTGATTATGCAATAAATACAAAGCACATGACTGGGTCTTTTTCTTGTAGAGTGACGCTTGCTTTCCTTTCCAGATAAGAAATTGGGAAGCAACGTGGCTCCTTCCAATGCCATTGATGCAACCTCAGACAACCAAAATCAGATAGGATGGGAGATAAACATTTCACATGTCACTGCTCTGGAGTGACGGGTGGGCAGAGGAGGGACACTGGTGTGAGAAGGAGCCCTACTGGCAGCCCCTCCAGTTTGGCCTTGGCTTCCAACACCACTTGATGGTGCCATAGTAAAGCATCCCACAACCTCAGCATACCATTAGAAGAGGTCCTAATTAATTGAGTCAATCAAATTGCTGCTGGTCAGTACAATGATTTTCTTGTTTTTCTCTTCAGCTCTGGATGAACTCTGCTCCACTCCTGAAGAAAATATATGATTCTTTTTTCAAGAAAGGTAAATTGTAAATGAGTATAAGAGCTGTGTAGTGAGGATTAATCCCCTTTCCTTTCATCTATAGCTCCTTAGGATAAAATGGTTCTTCTTAGTTCTTCATACCCATTTTTTTTTTCAAATGGTTGCTTGCTGTGTCTTCCACCAGTAAGTAAGAGTGGTGTAGTGGAGCCAGGACTCACACGGACACAGTGCCACCTCTTTTTTCCTAGCAGGGAAGTTGGCAGCTCCTGCCACCCCTCCTCAGAATTCCTTTTCCCTCTGAACTTAGCTGCAGTTGGTTCAGTAACCGGGGGAAATGAACTTTCTCCGCAACAACATATTCTGCCATGTAATGCACAGTATTTGGGAGTGGCTTGTCTTAGATGGGGAATCAAGACACATTAACTTCCTCAAAGACCTCCTCCTGGTGGAGAGGAAAACTGACAGAAGTGGCTTGTTGATATGGATCAATATGGCTGCCTGCACTTTTGGAGTCTGCTTGGGGATGTAGCTACGAAGAGTGCCTACACTTCAAAATTGACTGCTACATCATTGTCAAAAAGTCCATGTCTGGAACTCACCAGTGCAGGAGACATGAGTAACAGGGACAGCTCTGTCGACTGTAAGTACTATGGCTTTTCCCAGATAATTCTGGGGAAAAAATTGTTCACAAATTCTCCGTTCTGTTACCTTCCATCTCCTCCTTGTTCCCACTTGAATATCTCGCCTTCCTTCCCTGCCAACCTGTTCAGAATAAGATGAACTGGTCTTTGCTTGATTTGGGATTCCATAGATCAGCTTTTCTCAACATGTGGCTGCAGGGTGCTGGGACGACTAGTCCAATGCATCTGCAGGTCAACAGGTTGAGAAACTCTGTCATAAATGGACCCAAACAGCTTTGGGGGGCAAGCTGCCCTTCAATATCTCATTCCAGCTTTGTGTTCCCATTGCTCTTATGGTTCCCCTTCTTGGCCTTCAGGTGGCAGATTGCTCAAAACCATAAAGGTCCTCTCTAGCAACAAGCAATTATGGAAAGATTCGGTGCTGCTCAGAAGCCGTAAGAGAGTCTCCAACCTGCGCTTCCGCTGCATCGTGGATCCCGTGAAGGTGACGGTGAAAATGGGCAACCCACAAGAGTCCAAGGACTGCTGCTCCCAAGCCGGCCGGAAGAGTAAGGCCTACTACTATGGGGAGTGCTCAAGCCGTCACGACACAGACGACAAGAAGGCCAGCTGGTACAGGGGCCAGCAAGAGCGCCAGAGCAGTCAGTGCAGCTCCCACCTCTCAGGCACGGAAACGCCCCAGCCGGCATGTCCCGCGGGATCGGTCGCCTCCTGGGTGCGCTTCAGCTTCAGGGCTCCCGATCAGGCCGCCGAGGTGGGAACCAGCACCGCCCACTATGGTGTCCATGCACGGAACCACCAAAGGCCCACTGGGGATAAACAGCACAGCTCAGAGGCTGCGGCAGAAGGGAGCCAGGGACAGAGGTTCCTGCAGCATCCTGTTGGCCTGAACACAGAAGAGCTTGGCCCCCGCCCCTCCGAGCAGCCCCACGGCCACCTGAACCATCAGGCCAGCGAGACCCATTTCATCCCCAGCCCGATCCTGTCAGGCCCCAGGCGGGTGGTGTATTCTGCCATGGCTTCAGATACCGCCTCCAGAACACACCTCAATGGCGAAGATTATGCCTACCCACATTCCCCGAGAGGCCCCCAGCATCGGCTTGGCCTAGAGTGGCACCCGCACCTGCCGGCAGCACAGCAAGCGGAAGTGTATGTCTACCTGGTCAGCCCGCTGCTCCCCAGCCCAGAACACAACCCCGAGCAGCTCGACCATCCCTTCTCAGCCCCTCAGACCCTCTCTGGGAAAGACGCGCTCACCAACCGGATGTCGCTCAGCCGGAACAGGGGAAGTACAAGTCCGGGGCCAGCAGCCCAGGGGAGCAGTGACACCCATAAGCAACGCAAGAGCATCTGGGAGAGGAAGCACCAGAAAAGGTCTCTGCAGACAACTGCAGACTACGAGAAACTGGCAGGAAGCAGCGGTGGCGGAGCTGGTGTGGCCCATCCTGAACTGCTCTCCCACAATCCCTCTGCCTTGGCAGACAGGGCGAGGGGAGGGTTTGACATCATATCACCCAATATGGCCAGCTGAAGACACCTTTCGGGAAGGGCAGACTGCCCAGCTGAGCTTCATACCCTGAATCAGCAGATGGAGTCCTTCAGAAAGGGAAGAACCGCCTCGTCTGCTTTTCACTGGGCATGCTTGGGCCAATTAAAATAAAAGCAAGGCACAAAAAATTTTGTGCAGAAATTCTAAAGGAGCTCTAAGTCTAGAGAGACATGATAAAAGCACAACTGGTGAGCCTCCCTTACTAACTGGGGGATCTTGTCCTAACCCCCCACATCCGCAGTGGTGGCCTCTCAGCAAAGGCATTTGCTCTAGCTGCAGAACTGAGAGCGAGGGATAGGCGAGAAATTAGTTTCCCCAGAGTTTTAATTTCCCACTTTTGAATCAACAGATGACCAAAACTCAGTTATCCTTCAAAATTAGCACTTCTCCAAATTTTGCAGTAGAGTTCTGTGGTAAAAAGATGTGTACGGATGTGTTATATTACTGAATATTTTAAAATATATTAGGAAAACTGCTTGAAAAAAAAGTGTATA